CCCCAAGGGCTGTAGGGTGGGGCCCAAAGGAGTCAGTGTGCTAAAATTTCTTCATATTCCTTGTTTAGAATCAGAGGTGCTAGTTTCAAATACTTTTTAGTCTTAAATCTGTATGCTAGATATTGAATAAGGTGGTTTTATTGTTTTTTGTCACTGAATAATATTTCTGTTCGTGTTAAAAACAAAATCAACTCTCTGTATAAATATATCAGGTGACCGTTAAGGTCCATGGGCCTCTTGTTTAGTTTACCTAGCTTACCTAAGTCAAGAGAACAATACAGCTGAAGCTTAAGTGCAGCATCCTCCGTCATCAACAATGTTTTCTTTACTAGTCCAGAATAGCTGTAGAAACTTTAACCAAATATGGCATAGATCATGCCCTGGCAAAGGGAATTCGGTGTTGTATATATAATTGAAGCGTGCGACTTCCCTAGGAATGGAAGGACCATGCCCAATATGAGAAATGGGTGTGAATCTGTGAAAAGAAACCTCCATTTAGATTTAGTGGCATCATATATCCCCGGGCCAAGGGAATTCATCTTGTATACATGAAGAGGGTGGCTTCTTTTAGAATGTAGGGATATTTATAGGGAAAATAAGGGAATAATTTAAACAACTGATTCCTATGGAAATGTGAACAGATTTTAATTTGAGTTGCGATTTCTGGACTAAGGGAATTTTGTATAAATGAAGAATGTTCCTCGACAGAATGTTAACCAAAAGCAGATGAGTTTTATGTGTATAAATCTTCGGGTGAGTTAGGGATAGTCACGATGGCCTAAATTAAGTTAGCGGTAACATTTTAACATGTCTAGTACAGAGAATAAAAGAAACAGAAGAGTGATACAGACTTGATGGAGCTTGGTGTCTTTTTTTCAAAATCATCAGAACCAAAACTGGTATTTTTCTATAATTTTGAGAACGCCATCCAACAACCTCATTTAGATAAAAAACAGATTACCTGGTAATGGTATCTTCCTATATCTAAAGCCTCGCCATGAAATAAGTGGTCATATTGTGTTACCCATGCCCCTCTGCTCTCTGTCAGTACCATCTTCACTTTTTCCTTTCATTGTGAGGAAACCTTGTTCAATCATTCAGTTCACAAATACCTACCTCAAACAAGTTTGTGTTTCAGAGTCCAAGGTCAAGGTCACTTGCTACAAATAGAAAATGAAACTTAATACAAGTACTCAAGATACAAGTAATTGAAAAAAGTTTGTGTTTCAGGGTTGTGATTCCAAGGTCAAGGTCACTCGCTATAATAGAAAATCTTTGTTATTACTTGTTTTGATGCTGAGTTACATGAAACTATAAAGTATAGCACAAATAACTTAATGAATTTGGTCTTCTGAGTCCAGGTCCAAATGCTGATGGGCAGATGGTGTGCAGTCGGGCATTCATTACTAAATTTAAACATTTGTTGCATTATAATGTATCTAGCAAAATTAGTACTTTTTTTTTTTATTAATTTTTTTATTCAATTTTTCTTTTTTATAAACAACACATTTACACACAAAGCAACAAGCATACATTACATTGATTACAATTCCCTTCACAACGGACACCTCTTTACAAGAGACTAATTATATATATACTGTACACACATATACACTCACGGGGGGGGGGGGATTGCAAACTTTTCTTTATATAGTATAATGATAATTGTTCACATTATTTTATAAGAGAAGCCATTTTTAGCTCACCTGGCCCAAATCTTTAAAAATCTTCTTCTCAACCAATAGAAGGATTTTGACCAAATTTGTCCTAGAGCATCTTTGGACAAAGGAGACTCAAATTTGTATAAACGGAGGGTGTGGCCTCTTTGGGGGCAGAGGGGCGGGGCCAAATAGGGGAAGTAGAGGATTTTTTCTCTCCTACTATACAAGTGAAGGGATTTAAACCAAATGCAGTCTGAAGCTTGGTCAGGAGCATCATTGGCCAAAGGGTTCTCAGTTTTGTATAAACGGACGGTATAGCCCCCCCTCGGGGCAGAGGGGCGGGGCTAAATAAGGGGAAAAAAGGTAAATCTTTAAAAATGTTCTTCTTCTCAACCAATTGAAGGATTTTGACCAAATTTGTCCTAGAGCATCTTTGGACAAAGAAGACTCAAGTTTGTATAAACGGAGGGTGTGGCCCCTCTGGGGGCGGAGGGGCGGGGCCCAATAGGGGAAATAGAGGATTTTTTTTCTCCTGCTATACAAGTGAAGGGATTTTAACCAAATGCAGTCTGAAGCATGATTAGGGACAAAAGAATCAATTTTGTATAAACTGAGGTGTGTGGGCCTCCTTCTAAGGGCAGATGGGTGGGGCCCATTAGGGGAAATAGAGGAAAACATCAAATATCCTTCTCCTTTTGTACCGATGAAGGGATTTTGACCAAATTTGGTCTGGAGCATCATTGGCCAAAGGGTTCTCAGTTTTGTATGAACGGAGGGTATGGTCCCCCTGGGGGCAGAGGGACGGGGCCAAATAGGGGAAAATAGGTAAATCTTTAAAAATCTTCTCCTCAACCAATTGAAGGATTTTGACCAAATTTGTCCTAGAGCATCTTTGGACAAAGGAGACTCAAGTTTGTATAAACGGAGGGTGTGGGCCTTCTGGCGGCATAGGAGCGGGGCCCAATAGGGGAAATAGAGGATTTTTTTTCTCCTACTATACAAGTGAAGGGATTTAAACCAAATGCAGTCTGAAGCATGCTTAGGGAGAAAAGAATCAATTTTGTTTAAACTGAGGTGTGTGGATTCCCCTTCTTTGGGGCAGATTAGTGGGGCCCATTAGGGGAAATAGAGGAAAACATTAAAGATCCTTCTCCTTCTGTACCGTTGAAGGGATTTTAACCTAACCAAACTTGTTTTAGAGAATCTTTGGGCAAAGGGAATTGAATATTTATAAATGGAAGATGCAACTTTGTTACTTGTACTCCTTTGATAAACCTGAATGGTACTCAGCAGGTTTTAAATTGAAAAATAAAATACCAGGTGAGCTATTAAGGCCCCAGGGCCTCTTGTTCTACTTTATTAAGCAAGACTATATTATATTATTAAAATTAGTACTTAGATATCATGGAAAGTTGCGGTGCAAAAGACTCGAAGATACTGTTTCGTTCTGTGATGGATTTCTCATTATTTTTGGGTTTTTTCAGATGAATAGTTCCTAATAAACAATTCATATATCAACTGATTGTTTTTGTGATCTGTTTTTGAAATTTTCTATGGGTGATTTGAGGTGGTTTTCATATGTGCCAAAGGGAAAAGAGATAAGAAAAATTAAGGCCAGTCCCTCCATGAAAGGAAACATTCCTTTAGTACTGGATCTTCTGATATTTGTCTGGACCGTAACTTTAAAACTGATATTTGTCTGGACCGTAACTTTAAAACTGATATTTGTCTGGACCGTAACTTTAAAACTGATATTTGTCTGGACCGTAACTTTAAAACTGATATTTGTCTGGACCGTAACTTTAAAACTGATATTTGTCTGGACCGTAACTTTAAAACTGATATTTGTCTGGACCGTAACTTTAAAACTGAT